TACTACATCTTCTTTAACCAGTCATCTGTCAGTGGACATTTAGGCTGTTTCTATCAGATATTTAAAGAGGAATTAGTACCATTGTTTCACAAACTCTTCCAAGAAGTAGAAGAGTTTATAATTGAAAGGAAACATATGTCCACACAAACACTTGTACATAGATACTCATAGTAGCATTATTCATAATAGTCAAAAAGTGGAAACAGTCCAAATGTCCATAAACTGATGAATGGATAAATAAAATGAGTATATCCATCCAATGGGATATAATTTGACAATAAAAAGTAACAAAGTATTGACACATGATACAACACGGATGAACCTGAAAAACACGCTAAGTGTAAGAAAACAGTCTAAAAATACCATGTTTTGTATATTATATGAAGTACTCAAAATGGGCAGATCTATAGCAAGAGAATGTAGACTAGTGGCTGCCAGGGCTGGGGCAGTGTTGGAAGAAATGTAGAGTGAGTCTGAAATGTTGAAATGTGCTAAAATTAGATCATGGTAATAGTTACTCAACTTCAGTGAATATATTAAAAGCCATTGAATTGTGTACTTTGAGTGAATTTTGTGATATATTTATCGTATCTCAATAAAGCTATTAAAACTCTGATTATAATAAATAAAACATTCATTAGTGAAAACAGTACAGTCTGTCCACACTGAAACAGTTGTCAGCAAACTGCAGTCCATGAATCACATCTAGCTGGCAGCTTGTTTTGGTAAAGTTTTATTAGAGCACAGCCACGCCCATTCATTTACCCACCATCTGTCACTGCTTTTGCAGAGCTGGTTAGTGGTGACAGACATCTTCTAACCTGTAAAGTCTAAAATATTTACTGTCTGGTTCTTTACAGAAAAAGTTTGCTAAATCCTGCTATAGAATAAGAAGTGGTATTTAAAAGGAGTGAGGTAGATCTGTGTTCACCAGTATAAATAGATTTAGGAAATTGTTTTAAGTGAAAAAAAGTTGAGAACAAATATACAGTGACATCATTTATGTGGAAAAGAAAGCAATACAGACATCCAGCCACTAACAGAAATTATAGAATCAAATAGGCACATGAACTGGAATCTAAATCCGTGGAACAAGTTGTGGAAAGATACATAGCAAACTAACACTATCCTTAGGGTGGCCACTAAAGTTTTGGAATGCCAGTCAGGTTAGCCTCTGACCTTGTTTGGATAATTTTAAGTTTTTTCTTTTTTTTGCAAAGAAATTGTAACTTTATTATATAAATGAAAATATAAATGTAGAATTATACACTCTAGGTGTTTTTGGTTTGTTTTTCAGAGCTATGAATGATAAAGCTTTGTTGGAGGCTGTAAGTATAGCACTGTCAGTTTGAAATTGTACTTGGTCCTTAAGGAATCTGGAAATATCTGTGTACACATATGCATACACCTGAAACTAGCACTGTAAATCAACTACACATCAGTAAAAAAAAAAAAACTAAACTTACTCTTACCATATGGAACGTATTCTTAATCATATGGAAAAAAAATTGTCCTTTGTCCTTGATGTTGTCAGCGTATTCTAAAAATTGTCAGGATACATAATCTTACATAAAGATCTAATGCCTATTCAGTTTATTCAAGACATTTTTTGCATATGTGAGCTGGAAAAGTTTTATCTGTTCTTTTGATCTTAATAGGCTTTATTATCAGAAACACTTCAATTATACCAAAGTTTATTACTTTTATGAATTATTGAAGACTTTCCAACTTTAATAGTTAAGTACCCTAATAACTTCTCTATATTGAGATACTTGCTTGTCATAATTAATGAAATTAGGATATTTGCTTGTAGAAAAACACAGAGATTCAAAATGATCTCCAAGTGTTGTCAGAGGAGAAATCGCTGTTGGAAAATGAACTACAGAAGTTGAAGAGTACAAAGGTTAGTTACCCTCTTGTCTGAAAATGGCGTACATACCAGTACTGATAATTGGTAGCAGCTGTGCTTTAAAAATATCATAAATATCAATATTCTAAATTACCGTACCAGCTATCAAAACCAAAAGGATGCTGTGAAAAAGAGACATAAAATTGAAACATTCTGAATGACGTTTCTAGGCCAAATATTTAACTTTATTAAAATACCAATAAATGAGGTTTGCAAATATGTTTTAAATGTATTTTGTTGCATTGTTTGCAACTATGTAATGTGTGTGTCCCAGTTCACTCTTATCACATAGAGTGAATAGAAATACCAAGGATAAAATTTCTTTCCCTTTTCCTTTCCTTCTTTTCCATTTTTATATAGCTTATAAATTTCACATTATACAAGACAAGGTCAAACGGATTAGAAGCAAATTTTTATTAACTACCTAAAAATATAAGATGTATGTTTTAACACAAAACCAACATAGAATGAAAAAAATACCTTGACCACTGGTATTAGTTACTTGGTATTTCTTCTTTACTAGGGGAGAAAGGAAAACTAGTGCCAGGTTTTCTACCTGTTCGGTCAGAGAAGCAGTGGTCCTGCGTCAGCGTCACATACAAGATCAGGGCTGTCACGTATGTTCAGTTGGGAATAGCTCCATTTAGTAGTTGGAACAGAAAATAAATTAAAAATAAAGGAATAAATTGTCATATTAAATAATTGAGTCGTCTGGCCAAGTGCAAGAATTTAGCAGTAGTCAATCATACACTGTTAGGTCCACATTCAGAAATCCTTGGAGCTTCTTTTGTGACTTGAAGATGCTGCAGCAGCTTCTAGTTTTGCTTTCTTGTATTGTTTCTTTGGATTTTGTATGTTGAAACCTAAAGAAGTGTGCCAGGGTGAATGTAAATGTGGAAGGAGCCTTTCTGCACGTGTGGGAGCAGTATTGCATCCACACAAGGGTGGTGACCAGGAGATAAGAGAGGCAGCCTGTTTTCGGAGAAGGGGACGGTAGGCATAGGGCAGTGGCTGCAGGGCTATGTCAGGCTCAGGATTTCTAGTAACAGCTGCATTAGTTTTCTTCCAAAGAAGCCTACTTTCCTAACTCAATCCCCTCTTAATAATTTTATTTTTGTAGACAATCTATTTTAATAATCCAAAGCCATGTTTGGTTCTCATCCTTGTTGCCAAATGTTAGGCAGTAGTTTCCTGTTTGTCAGTTAGGGGTTTTATTCTCTTTTTTGTAAGCAGAAGAAACTGACCCTTTCTAAAGCCAGAAATGTGCTGGATGGCTCTCAGGGCATCTCAAAGGACTGAAGAAGAATTGAACAATGTGCTTGGTGAAAGAGAGAGCCAGGACAACTCTTAGAGTTACAGAAACAGACACTCCTGGACAGCCACCACTTCTGTCCTGTCAGGGAATTTCTAGAGGGAACTTAGCAATATTTTCCTCCCTTTGGGTGCTGGCTCTGGAATTACTCGGCTCCAGCGGCTTCTCTTCCATGCTGTCAGTTCTTAGATGATTGGATCTTAGTGGCCTTGCTTGGGTCAGATGTCACCAGGACGATTTGAGATAAAGGAGGTGAGAACCCTTCTAAATGTGGTGCTGTTTCTCAACAGAAGGGTGGAAGGACACTGGGCACAATTATTTGGTGTTCATTGTACTTGGTGATTTCCCTCTAATTACTGTTGTATCCATTTACTCACTCCAGGTGTCAGTGTTTACCATAAAGGCAAGACAGACGTGTTGCAGCTACCCGGGTCGGCTTCTGTGGTTTGGAAATAGCCACAGGCAAAGTGTAAATGAAGGAGCACGACTGCGTTGCAGTAGTACTTCATTTACAAGAACAGGCAGCAGGGCAGCTTTGGACTGCAGTTTACTGACTCCTCCTTTGTTCCATCTCTGCTCTTACCTGGCTTTCTCCTGTAGCTCCCTCAATAGGACTGCCTAGATGTGTGCAGTTTGGTGTGCTGTTGCTGGAAAATGTCACTGTGTAAAAAGATTTCTACTCTTGCTGTTCTGTTCTTTTGACCTGGTTTATTCCTACACCAATGCCAGAGATTTTTAATGATTATATGTTTAGAGTGAGTCCTCATATTTTGTAGGGCAATCAACACACCTTGTTATTTATAAAAATTTGTTTTTGCCCTTTGCATTTTCATGTAAATTTCAGAATTAGCTTGTCCAAATCTGCAGTTACATTGAATCTGTACATCAAATCTGAGAGCTTTACGTCTGGGATATCAGGATACATCTTTTTGTTTATGAACATTAAACATCTCAGTTTTGGAAGCTTTTTAAAATTCTTACAATAAATACGATTTTCTTCATAAACCTCTTATTCATTTTTGTTACTTATGTTAATCTTAGGTGCTTCGTATTTTTATGCAATTTTAATTTGTATCTTTTAAAATATTTTAAAGCTATTGCTAGAGAAGTGTAACAAATTTTTGTTTATTGGATTTTGCATCTACAAACCTAGCTACACAATCGTAATGTCTTGCATAATCAAAGTGTCTGTACCTAATGATAGCCTGAATTTTCATGCTTTCCAGTTTGTAATACTTTGTTTCTTTTTCTTGCCTTGCTACACCGGCAAAGACCTCTTAAATGATACTGAATAGACATGATGAGAGTGGACATTTTTTATTCGTTCCTGATTTTGAAGGGAATGTTTTCTTGTTTCTTGTGATCAGTCAGCCCGCCTTTCTCCCCACCTCAATACCATTTATCAGGTTAAAGGACTTTTTCTCTTTTCATAATATGCTAACATTTTTTTTTCATCCTTCATAAAGTTCTTCCAACCTCTGCCCACTGCCCAGTTTCAGAGCCACTTCCACAGTTTTAGTTATGTGTTGCAACAGCACCCCACTTCCAGGTGGCAGCATCTGTATTACTTTTTACTTTGCTGCTCAGTGGGTTGCTTTAGGGTTTAGTCTTGTTTGTAAGCTATTGGACTCCCTGTTCAAGTGTTACCGAATCACTTAATGGTTAGGAACCTTGAAACGTGCTTTCCTTGGTCCCTTTCCAGCCTTTGTGCTCTTGTTGTCATACGTTTTACTACGTACAACATAAACTGCACAACACATTGTTTGTGTTTTACTGTAAAATACTAACTTTCAATGAGATTTAAATAACAAGAAAGCAGTCTTTGTATTTACCAACCTAATTACCATCTATGGTGGTGTTCTTTCATTTGTGTATTTATTTCCATCTGGTGTCGTTTTTCTTCTGCTTAAGGGGTTCCGTATCATTTTTGTTGTGCAGTTATGCTGCTCGTGTATTCTTTCAACTCTTTGATATCTGGACCAAAAAACAATATTTTTCTTACTTTCTATTTTGAAGGATATTTTTTTCTGGGCAGAGAATTCTAGGTTGACCTTGTTTCCCTTCCAGTGCTGTAAAGATACCCTTTGCCTTCTGGCTTATGTGGTTTCTGACAGGTCTGCTGTCTTCCTTATTCTTGTATGTAATCTGTTTTCCTCCACTGTTTTTAAGATTTTCTCTTTATACTGCTTTTAAGTAATTTGATTATGATGTGTCTTGGAGGTAGTTTTCCTTATATTGTTGTGGATTTGTGGATATATAGTTTTCATCAAATTTGAAAAAAATGGCTGTTATTTCTTCAAATATTTGTTTTCTTTCCCCACTCCTCCTCTCCATCATGAACTCCAGTTCATATTAATCCATTTGAAGTTGTCCCACAGCTCTGATGATCTGTTCATTATTGTTTTAGTCTTTTTTTCCCCTTCCATTACTTTAGTATTTTTTTGATTGTCAATATATTAGATTTTTCTAAATAGAAAATATATCCCAAAACTCATTTTAAACTAGAAAATTATTTTTGGACCTTAATAATTCTCATTAAAATGTATTATTATACTATTTTCTTTGTCTTATGAGAAATTGTTACATTTAGCGTTTAACTCGTGAGAAATCTATACAGTAAATTTGGTATCTAATGGAAGTTGTAGTCTGAAACAGGAAATAACCTCTCAGTACCTTAATAGGTCTCTAATGTTAAGCTCATCTAATTTTTTCCATAATTAATTATGTAATTTTTCTACATTTTCTTGTATAAAATAATCCATTAGTACATAGTAGTTCAAGAATACTTCTAAACATGTGGTCAGTTCTCTACATTTGTTTTGAAATGCAGATTTGTTCCAACATGATTCAACAGTTTGAGCGTAATGTGGATTTTACATTTGTTTACACACAAGTTCATCTGCAAAGAGTATTAGGTGAAGGTGGAAAACAGCTTTCACAAGCTACCCCGGTTTGCCATGGTTATAGTGCACCACACCAGTCCCAGTGTGGTGTTACAGCTTTGCATCTGGTTTCAGATAACCCCCTTCCCATGCTGTGTAATAACTCACAAGTTGGAGACTGTGTGATGCTCACTTCCACAAACTAGCTTTATGTCTTTTTCAAGATAAAGAGCTACGTTTCTCATAGTACATACTTCTTAATCATTTAACTGTGTAAAACTGGATTAATGTTCTTGTTAGGTTTCTGGTTTTTTCTGATGCATCATTGACAGTGTTTTGTGTTCTGTGCACCTATCCCCGTTTTCCTCAAATGTCCTGCAGTTTTTATCATGTGATTTTTCATGGTAAGGTGATTTTCAGGACAGCATATATCATGTTATGGCGGAACTGGCTACAGCCAGTTTGTCAGATGATTGAATTGTTTTGATATATATTAGCTTATTTGCAGCTCACGTTCAGTAAAGCACTATTGCAAACATTCTGGCTGTATTGTTAATTCTGTTTTGCTTCTATTCAGATAATTTCCCTCGAAACATAGTACAGTGAGTCTCAGAGTAAAATGGCAATCTTAGTACTATATATTATCATGTGTTTGCCTGTAATTCATTGTCTCCTTAACTGTTTTTTCTGGCTTACATAAACTTTCACAGAAAACAAAGGTTACAAGTGATCGAACAAAGAAAACTCTGAAAATGGAGAAGAAAAAAGAAAAAGAAAAATCTGAGGATTTGGAAGAGTAAGACATAAAGATCCTTGTTAACATTTTTCCTTGTAAATTTATATTTTCATTTTATACAATTTGAGATCATATAAATGTAACTTATTAACAGGTTTCTACAAAAATACAACTTCAGCAAATATATAGTGTATAAGCAGGCTGAGATATGATTGGGGGAGAAGGCTGAGAAGGGAAGAACAGAGAACTAAAAATGAGTAGAATGAACCCAAGATACTCAGGAAGAGGTAAACAGAATTAAATCTGTAAATAATTTTAGGGGAAAAAGGATTTACAATGTTTACTTGATAGTTTAGTTAATGATTTGTAATTTGTATGTTAATCCCCCAGCCTAGGCTGTTCCTTTTTAATGTACTTCCTGATTATCTTATTTTATTAAAAAGTACCTATTTTTATGTATGTGGGTTATTGTAGGATAGCCTTATTAAATGAATATTTTCTTTAGTAACTAAACTTGCGCATTTTGAATTTGCTTGAAGAAGCTATGAGTTCAGTCTTTACGGAATTACTATGAATTCAGTCTTTATAGAATTCCACAAATTCTGGAAAGAAATTCATGAGGCAAATGGTCTTGACATTTGTCTTAGAGAAAAACAGATGACTAGAGAAGAAAAAATGACCACTGTACTTGAAAATCCTTGCCCCATCTCAACTTTTTATATTTTAATCGTACCAATGAGAAGTTAGAGAAATGTTATTCAGTTGTTTATCATTTAACCTTTATGAATTTTATGGCTATTAAAAATATGATTTTTTTCAATTGAAATACAGTTGATAAAAACATGAAATTCCTTATGAAAATTTTATTTTTTTTAAATTGAAGTATCATTGATATATTGGTTACAGGCATATGACATAGTAATTCAGTATTTTTATACATTACAAAATGATCACTGTGAGTCTCTATCGGTCACCATAAAAGTTACTATGATATTAATGACTATCTTCCCTGTGCTGTGCATTACATCCCCATGACTTACTGATTTTATAACTGAAAGTTTCAAATTACTGCCCCTACACTGGGACTGACAGCATGTGAGATTTTGCATGTGCACCTCAAGAGCAGAGTCTGTGTGTCCTTCAGGCCCCCTGCTCTCCCACAGGCAAGCCGTCTTGGCCTTCAAAGCCAGCTGTTCTTGGGGCTCTTCCAGTGTAGGACCCCCCTGGGGTCGGGAGCCTGATGTGGAGCTCAGACCCCTTGCTCCTTGGGAAGAGACTCTGCAGTTGTCGTAGCATTTGTGGGTCGCCTATCCAGGAGTGTGTCTTTCTGTGCAGTCCTTGCCCTCTCTGTCCATCTCATTAGAGTTACTTCTTTGTGTGTCTACTTGTGGAAACTCTTTTCCAAGAGTCTTTACTTCATTCTCCTCAATAGTCGCTCTGTAGATAGGTGCAGTCTTGGTGTGCCTGTGGGAGGAGGTGAGTTCAGGTCCTCCTACACTGCCTTGGCCGCAGCTCTCAAAATTTCACTTTTTAAAAATGATTTAAGTACCTGACAAGAAACTAGAGTGTTCATGCAGGTATCATGATATATTAAAAATATTTTTTTTCAGGAAGAAGTCTGTAATAAGAGAGTCAAAAGTAAAAGAAGATACGCATCAAGTTCAGGTAGAATCTCTCTCTGCACATCAAAATCTGATTACTAAGGCTCTGATAATTATGTATGTGTGTGTGTATGTGTGTGTATATTTACATTATAGACAGATACATAGACAGCACTAGTGGGTGTATGCGGGTTAGTATGTGGATGTAGGATGTGTGTGTGTCTGTGTACTGAGTTTCTTCCTAAGATATTTATTTCTTGTTGGTTGGCTTTTCTCAGCAGGTTTCAGGAAATCAGATGGTAAATCCAAACATGTTTAATGTCCAGGTTGTAAAAATCCCTACAGTTCACTCAGTTACGGGCAACATCTTGGAGGAAAGAACATCATGCGGGGTGGGAGTCAGAATGGACCTACTGGTGACAGTGGTCGAGTCCCTTTAACCTACTTGAGCTTCATACTTTTCATCACTAAAGTGGGTAAAACAATCTACCCGGTCTAACTTAAAATATGTATGAGGTGCAAGAAACAAATATGAAAACTTTTTAGAAACTGTAAACTATATAGCCCACTCTTATGTGGTCCAGTGAGAAGAATACAAGTAACCCTTTATTTCATCTGGGTTTTGGTAAACCTTCTTTTGCTACAAGATGGTTTCTTAACCATCAGCACATCATATGCTGTGTCATATGTCACTAGGTCACTCTTACGCAGTGAGTAGCCGTAAAGTGTCCTACAGGTATATACCTGTGTGATTCAAGAATCAGATAACATAAATTTGGGAAGAAAATGAGAGCACTGCTTGAGATATTGAATATGAAATCAACAGCTTTATGATGGTAGTTTTTTATTCCTGCATAACAAGTTATCACACATTTTGCAGCTTAAAACAACTTAAATCATCTCACAGTTTGGGTGGGTTGGGAGTCTGAGTGTGGCTTAGCTCTGTCCTCTGCTCCAGGTCTCCCCACACTGCAGTCAACGTGGTGGCTGAGGTCTGCTTTCTGCTCACTTGGGGGTCTTCTTCCAAGCTCAGGTGGATGTGAGCTTCAGTTCCTTGCAGTTGTGGAACTGAGACACTCAGCCATGTGTCCTTCTCCATAAGCAGTTCACATTACAGCAGCTTGCTTTTTCTGTAAGGCCAGCAAAGAATCTCTCATGTTTGCTAAGACAGAGCCTTATGTGATGTAGCAGACTCACGGGTATGACGCCTTATCACCTCAGCTGTATAGTTGATTGCTGAACAACTAGGGGTTATGGGTACCAACCCCCCTCACAGTTGAAAATTTGTGTACTGCTGTCTCTGCCTCAGAAACGAAGGCATTGATAGACGACTCACTCAAGGGCAGGAAACTAAAGGAACTTTGAGAAAATCACATCTCAGACCCTAGTTCTTTTGATTCTACAAATTGAGATCTCTAATCAAACACAAACTTTCCCCACGCTTAGTTAAAGATCTGTAAAATGGAGGTACAGGTAGTATATTCATTGAAAAATATGCTTGTGTAAGTGGACCCATGCAAGCTCAAACCCATGTTCAAGGGTCAGCTGGATAATGCAGTTCAGTAAAGGGGGTTCCATCTCGTCACTGTGCAGTGTTCTGCAGCTGAAAGCAAGTCATAGGTGGTCGCGTCCATACTCAGGGAGTGGACTATGCAGAGCGTAACTGCGGGGTGAGATCATGGAGCCATACCATATGGCTTATTTTATGCAGGGTAGCATTTTGTGTATTTTAAAAATTTATTATAATCCCATTATTAATATCAGAAGTCTTCAAACTAGTGTTTTAGTTCATTTGGGCTGTGTCTTAGTCCGTGTGACTGCTTTAACAGTATCAAGGACTGGGTGGCTTAAACAATAGAAATTTACTTCTCACAGTTCTGGGGGCTGGGTGTTTGGCATCATGGTGGCGCGAGGGCCCTCTTCTGGGCTTCACGCTTCTTTTTGCATCCTCACATGGTGGAAACGGCAAGGAGCCTGCTCAGGCCTCTTTTGTGGGGGGCTGATCTCGCTCGTGCAGTCCCTGCCCTTGTGCCCTGATCACATCCCGCAGGCTCTCCTTCCTGATGTGACCACAGGGGCATTAGGGTTTCAGCACAGGAGTTCAGGGGGAGGAGCACGACGCTGAGACCACGGCAGGCTTCCGTGGCAAAGCAGCACCGGTGAGCAGCTTCAGTGACACTCACTTCTCCCGTCTCTGGGGCTGAGAAGTCCCAGGTCAGGGCACTGGCAGGTTTCGTGCTCAGTGGAGACCCGATTCCTGCTTCCTGGCTGGCCGCCATCCTGCTGTACCTTCCATAGCAGAAGGGCCAGGGAGCTCTCTGGAGTCTCTTTTATGAGGATGCTGACCCCATTCATGAAGATGCTATCCCCATGACCTGTTCACCCCCCAAAGGCTCCACCTCCAAATACCATTACACTGGGGATTTGATTTCAGTATATGAATTTTGGGAGGTACAGATATTCAGTCTGTAGCAGGTCATGTCATTTAGATTATTTCTTCTGAATTTAAAGTGAGAATTTCCTGTATAGGTATACTGTAGATTTAACGAGAATTTTAAAGGAATTTATTTCCCTCCTTCAAATCTCCATTATGAACTATCACTAATCTAGGCCACTTTACAGAGATCAGTGGAAGCTAAAATGTGACTTGCTTAGGGTTAGAGAACAAATGGGTAATGAAATCTGAACTGCAAACATGGTTCTTTGAATCCTGCTCAGCATTTGCAGTTGTGGTTGATCTTGAACAGCACGGGTTTGTACTGCAAGGGTCCACTTGCACATGGACTTTTCTCAGTAAATACGTCCTGTAGTGGTACACGGTCTGTGCTTGGTTGGATCTGTGGATGTGGAATCATGTATACAAAGGACTGACTGTAAAGTTCTATGTGGGTTTTCCACGGGGTGAGTGCCCCTACCCCGACGTTGTTCAAGGGTCAACCGTTGTGAAAATGCATTCAGTTTTGCTTCCTTAGGCAGGAATGGACATTAGAATCAGTTGATACTGTTATCTATCTGTCCAAGTAATTATAATGCTTATAAAATGTTTTAATAACTCTTATAAAATTTTGCTTTTACATGATCTAGGGTTTTTTTTTTGGTTTGTTCTGTTGTTTTTTTGTTTTTGGTTACTGATTAGTTGGGGTATAGATTGGATTTTGCAATCAAAGAGAACAGAGTTTTTGGAATAATTCAACTCACTCGTAACTAGACTAATTATAAGTTAATTGTATTTATTCTTTGTTTTGTTAATGTGGTATATTGCATTGATTGATTTCTGGTTGTTAAACCATTCTTGCGTGTCTGTTTAGAATCCCACTGGTTCACTTAAAGTATTTTGAGTTCAAACTCTTTCAGGTTGTTCATCTCTGTTTTATTGAGGTCTTTTTCTGGGGATTTGCCTTGGTCTTTGGTGCTAAACGTACATTCCTCTGTCTCTTTGTTTGTTTGCCTGTTGCTCTGCGTTTGTATCTATCAGGTGAAATGACTACCTCCTGCAGTCCTGAAGGAGTGATCTTGTGTAGGAGCTGTTCTGTGTGGCCTAGAAGCACAACCTTCCCGGGCCACGAGAGTCAGGCTCTTCACGGACATCTCTCATGTGGACTGTGTGCGTACACCAGCTGTGACAGGGCCAAGGCTGGTGTGCAGAGGGGGCCGGGGTTGAGTCACTTGTCCTTCCTGGTTGTGGCTAAGTCTCTGCGAGGGGCGAGTGTGGCCTGGGGCCCTTGCCTGGCCCAGCTGTGCCAGTTGGCTACATGGAGAGGGAGGGCTCAGAACACTTGGCTGCCAGGCTCTGTGCGGGAGCTGCTGGATTAGCTCTTGAAATGCCCATGTTACTGAGCGTTCCAAGAAGGGGAGTCTCGTTTAACATCCAGTTTCAGGTTGGTTTAATGCCAGGCCCTCAGGTAGCAGCTTGTAAAATACGGAGACACATACCATGCTGTGGAGTCACAGTGGTAATTCCAGCTGGCCTCCAGCCCCCGGGGTCTGGAGATGTCCTCTGGGCGCCACTGGCGCTGGACAGAGCAGGGCTCCTGGTAAGTGCATGAAGTCCTTCCTGGGGAGTCTTGTCCAGCTGCAGTGAGGCCAGGGGAACGCAGGCACGGTTTCCCTGATTCCATTCCCTGGGAGTGTGTCCTTGGCCTCTGGAAGTGTGGGAGGTCTGAAGCCGGTCCCTCAGGTGTAGCTCCAGGCTGAGTAAATAGGCCTTTTTCAGCTGAGAGGTTTGTGTTTTGGTCAGCTATCCCTGCAGTGCCCTGAGGGTGGTGGCCTGCCAAGGACTCTCCTTCCAGCTGTTACAGTCCCATGGAGAGGAGGAGCCCAGTCCCTCCAGGGGCGTTGCTTGTGTGGGTTGAGCACCTCCCTGACTGACCAGGTGGCTGGGGAGTGTGGGAGCGGGGCTCTCTGGCTCCGGGAAGGTAGCGGGCGGGTGAGCTCGCAGAGCCATGCGGCCAGAGAGCCCCTTAGGCCAGGCTGCGCGGTGGGGGGAGGCAGGGGGCGGTTGTCACCTGCTGGCAGATTAGGTAGGGCGCAGGGGAATGCTGTTGCCGTCTGCTCCTGCCCACCCTCGCCAGGGTCGGGCTGCTCCGGCTGCAACAGGGCGGTGGGGGTGCTGCTGGCTGGCGCACCCCCGCACCCGAGCCCTGCGGCCTGCCTGGGGCCAGGTGGGGAGGGCAGAGCGGTGCCTGCCCGTGCTTCTGCTTCCCGGGCAGCGTTCCTGCTGTCCAGCACCCCTCCAGCTAATGCTTTTAGGTTTGAAAATGACCCCCTTTCACATAGAGTCTTGGCAGTTTTCAAACTGCTGTTATTTCCTTGGGTCTCCAGGTGAGTGAGACCACAGGTGAACCATGTAACAGAGGGCCTCATTTCTATAGCATTTGGTACCCCTGGCTTTCTGAGCCAGGCATCTCAGGGTTCCTCTCTCTGGTGTAGATCCCAGGCACTGGGGGCCTGATGTGGGCACCAGTGCCTTGCTCCTCTGGGAAGAGCATCTGTCTGCTGAGGTTCCTCTCTGTTGCGTGCTGTCAGGCTGGGGTGGGGTTTTTGGCAGCAGTATTTCTCCACTTCTCCTGCCTCTCTCCATGTAGTCCTTTTTATTCTTTGTTGTGGAGTGTGTTTGGCTAGTCCTCAGGTCCTTTTCAGAGGGAACTGATCTGTATGTAGGTGAATATTTCTTGACTCCGTGGGAGGAGATAAGTTCAGGCTCTTCCTGTGCCCCATCTTTTCTCTTAAGAGGAAGTCTCATTTTCCTGTTTCTTCAGATTCTAAGATTCAAATAATTCTTAATTGCATCTTGGATATCAGGAATATCATCTTGTTGAAACTCTGGATTCTGCTTTATTCTTCTTACGATTGGTACTATTTTTGTTTGTTTTCTTTTAATATATTATTAACATGATTGGGTGCAAAATGAAAATTCTGTATTTAGGCAGCAGCTCAAATTGCATTTCAGTTCTAGCTCTTGCTAGGTGGCTTAGCATCTTCCCCGTGTGTATGTGGGCAAGGGGTCGGGAGGTTTGTGGGAATGGTTTGGGGCTTCCTCTCTGTGGATCCTTTCTTTGTGTGACTTCCCCTGAACCTTCCCAATGCTTGTGATCGCCTTGAATTCTGTCCGCTGGTTTTAAAGTTCTGAAAACTCAGTTTTTTTTAAAAAATCAGCTATTATGTACCCTGCCTGGGTCGGACAGGGCTTTCCCTCAGACTAGAAGCCGGGAATCTCTAAGACTCTTACGTAGGACTGCCTCCTCTTCCAAGAGTCGCCTTCGCTCAGGAATCTGCCTTCTCTTGGTCGCTTTCTAGTGTTGATATTTGTATTTTGTTTAGAGTTTTTGGTGGTTACGTGTGGCAGGGTTTGTCCAGTAGGGACTTACTCTCCTATACAAGAATCAGAACTAGGGACTTGAGATACGGTTTCTCAAACTGTTGTCCATCTGGATGGAGAATCCTTGAGACTTTCCATGTATAATAGAATCTACTCATTCTCGCAAAATCAGAACTGTGTTTCTTTTAAGGACTCTCTTTTATGAACTCTCTTCTTTTATGTTAAGAGAAGAATTGCTTCTTAAAATTTGAGATGTTTGTATTTAAATATTTTAGGCCTTGAGAAAAGGAGAAATGAAATGTTTACTTTATGATAGTTACAATTTCCCACATTCAAGGTCAGCTTTCCTCTGGAAAAGCAATAAAAAGCTATAGCTACAGAAGGTGTCCAGCATTGTGCCTGAGAAGTGTGCAGTAAGTGTGTGTGCTCAAATGATCATCTTGGCTTTCTGTGGGTTTTAGAAAGGTGACAGTTATGATAGTAGTAAAGCAAGATACCAAATAAATACGTTTCCCCTCATATTATATCCTAGAAAGCAACACTTGCTCTGGAAATTGAGAACAAAGTCCTCCGGGAACAACTGCAACTAGCTTTACAGGTAAAAGATATCATGTTCCTTTAAAATTGTTAACAAGTGAAGAAAATATCTATAAAGAACTTTTAAAATGAATTTTGACCTTGTAAACTAACAGGTCTCCATTGTGTTATTTTAACAGGTTTAAAGTGTACTCATTTTGTGCAATAGAAATATATTACTAAAATTTAATATTTATTCTTCCCAAAACAGCTGAAAGTAATGTTATCTTGCTTATTAATCAAACTAAAGAATTCTATTTCAAACTGAGACAATATTCTATGTAAAAGTAGAATACTGCAGCCTTTCCAGTTAAACTTGGTTAAACTAGGATGTTGGTTCTTATGGCTTTTTTTCAAATTCTTACTAAATAATAAAACAAGAAATGAAAGAAGCTACATTTTCTTATGTGGATAGGTGAAAGTAAAATGATTTGTGTATTATATAATTTTTCTTCTGAGAAATGTAAGGTAACACATGAGTTTATTAGTGACATAGTTCAAGAAATTAGCTGGGGACAGAAGCAATATGAAAAAGCAATAGGCTTTCTTTTACAGAAACAATTTAGAAACCATAATAGAAAAAATTCTATTTGTAATATTAGTATATCATATTTAACAAAAACACACAGTTTTATATGAAGAAAAATATTATGAGGATTATAGATAAACAGTGAAGAAACAGACATTTATACTTTTGGTTTTGAAGTCTCAATATTAAGAATATTTCAATTTTCCATTTTCTTCAAATTGACAAACGTAAAGCAATTTATTTCTAGATATAAGAGGGACTGTTTCTGAGCTTTACCAAATTGTTATAGGATATATTGAGATAAGAAACTGGTGATTTTCCAAACAACAGTTAGGGAGGATTTGTTCATCCAAAAACCAATGTAAAATATAAAAATACAATAAGTAAAGCAGTGTGACTCTGGATTTGGTACTGAATGGAGTCCAGAAACAGATTCAAATGAATATAATAACTTAGTATTTTACAGTTAGTTATTAAAATTTGTTCATAGAAGGATAAAATAATCACAAAAATAAAGTACTATGAAAAGATTGTTGAGTTCTAGTTCTTGTAGAACATATCATGTAGTGCACTACAGTGAGCTGCAGATTGGTTTAAGGTCCAGAAGTAATAAATGAACTATCAAGATATTGGAAGAAACACTGGGTAACAACTGTGTGGTCTTGGCTACAGCAGTGCTTTCTAAGCATTATTCCAGAAAAGAATATGTTAATGTATTTAGCTGTATATAAATGTAAAACTTTTTATGGTTAAAAAACTCATGAGATACAAAGATAAATGGAAATTTTTACAAAATGTCTCATATAAAGATCTCTTACAGTCTACAGGAGATATGGGTAGCCTTCCTTGTAAATAGACAAAGGACACAAATAGGCAGGTCACAGTCGAGGAACACCAGGAAGACGCATGCAAGTATATTCCGCCTTACTAGTTACCAAATAATCACAACTTAAAATAACAGAGGGATAGATTTTTTTTACTTACCATTTTGGTAGAAATTTAAGGAACAGAAATATCTAATATTTTCAGATTTATGCTGAAATCAGCAGTCTTTCACATGCTTCTGAGTATGAATTAATAACTTTTCTCAAAGAAAATTATATAGCAAAAGTCCTAGAAAGACAGTCTTTCAGTGAACCATTCCACTTCTAAAAAATTTATTGTAAAGAAGAAAAAAGTGTACAGACATTATGTACAAGTATGTAGAATATAAAATTTTAATAGCAAAGTTTAAAAAATTAGCAGTATGTCCATTGATAAGAAATTCGCTAAATAAAGGTATGATACTAAAATGTATTAGCTCTTCTGATTGGGGTGTATATTTATCATCATGGAAACGTATCTGTGACATTATTTAATGAAAAGAGCATATTATGCTAGTATGTATAGTGTGATCCAATCTAGACAACAATTTAAAACTATATATGTACATATATGCATTAGCTATATTTAGAAATAATTAAATAAAAAGAATATACATCAAGGAGTCAGCAGTGAGTTTTCTGTTTGTGGTGAGATTGTGAACTCTTCTGTTGATCTGTATGTTCTTTCATACAAATAACTTGTTAATTTTGTATAACTAAACATTAAAAGTGACATTTTAAAGAAAAATTCCAGTGTAGAAGAAATTATTTTTCATGTTTTATTATTTGACATAGATCTTAATTATGCTGGGTACATTCTATCACCTTTTATAATGTATGCATTTTATTAACTTTTATTGTGCCTGTGTAATAGTTAAAACCTTAAAAAAAATAATGGCAGAGAGAACCTCTTCAGTATAAAAACAGCCCTTTAAGTGAAAGAGATTTTTTATAGGTTTAAATTTTGATGGATCTGCTAAACTATGGATTATACCAGTGGTTTAACTTAGCTTACTCCAACTCTGTAAAAATAAAATTGAGAAGTAGGGTGAGTATGAATGTATGAAGATTCCTGAAAATTGTAATATTGGCAGGAAACTGTCACAGAAATAATGGTTAATAAACGGTTAATTTTTTTAAATCAGGAATCTGAAAGAGCTAAACATCAACTTGACTATTTCCTAAATAAAGAAAAGGAGTTACTTAAAAGTGAGGGGAAGACCAAGACAGCAACAGAAATGGGTACTGGTAAAATAAAAGTTGAACGTGAAGATTCAAAATATACACCATTGGAGAAAGAAGTGGGAAAAGCACTAGTGGCAGATTCAGGTGGACAAAAAACAAATGATAAAGTAGAACATCTGCAGGTAAGAAAATAACCAAAATAGAAGCATTAATATGTGCTGGAAGGAGTTTATCTTTTATATTAATTTTTATGTTATTTGTATATTATTTTAAAAAATTCTCTGGGTTTTTTTTTGCTTGGAATTTTGCCTTTTGCCTTCTGGATGTATCAGTTCATTATTGTCTTGAGTATAAATCTGTAAATCAAATACATACTGATTTTTGTAGTTTTTTTCATACAAATATTTGCATCTTATTTTCAGGACAGTTGATCCAATATAGAATTGTCATTGATAAAATAATGTTTTATTTTAAAACATTTATTTATCTGTTTTGATTGCTGTAGCTTTGAAACATTGTTTGAAATCAGAGAGCATGATGCCTCCAGCTTTGTTCTTCTTTCTCAAGATTGCTTTTACTATTCAGGGTCTTTTGCAGTTCCACACAAATTTCAGATTGTTTCTTCTGTTTCTGTGAAAAATGCCACTAGAAATATGATAGGGATTGCATTGAATCTATAGACTGCTTTGGATAGGATGGACATTTAGCATCGTTAATTCTCCCAGTCAGCAAGCATGGGACCCCTTTCCGTTTGTTTGTGTTGTCTCCCATCAGTGTCGCGCAGGTTCCAGATGCAGGGCTTTCGCCTCCTTGTTTATGTTTATTCCTAGAAATTGTAGTCTTTTTGTTGGAATTGTAAATGGAATTGTTTTCTTAATTTCTCTTCTGAATGGTTAACTTTTAGTGTATAGAAATACAGTAGATCTCTGTTTGTCAATTCTGTATCCTGTAACTTTGTTTATTAGTTCTAACAGATTTTTGGTGGGGTCTTTAGGGTTTTCTATATCATGTCATCTGCCAGTAGTGACAGATTTGTTTCCTCCTTTCCAACTTAGGTGCCTAATTTTATTTCTTTTCTTGCCTAATTGCTCTGGCTAGGACTTATAATAATATGTTGGTAAAAGTGGCAAGAGGGGACATCCTTTTCTTGTTCCTGATCTTAGAGGAATTGCTTTTAGCTTTTCACCGCTGAATGATGTAATCTGTGTGTTTGTCATACATGGCTTTTTTTATGTTGACTACATTCCCTCTGTACCCGCTTTGTTGAGAGCTGTTTTTTTTTATTATTATGAATGAATGTTGAATTTTATGAAATGTTTTTTTGCAGCTATTGAGATGATTATACAATATTTATTCTTTATTTTGTTAATGTGGTATATTACATTGATTGATTGTGGCTATTGAACCATTTCTGCATCCTTTTTAGAAATTCCGCTTGATCATGATGTCTGATCTTTTTAATATATTGTTGAATTGGTTTGCTCGTATTTTGCTGAGAATTTTACATCTATGTTAATCAGGAATATCTGTCTGTAATTTTATTTTCTTGTAGTGTCCTTGTCTGGTTTAGGTATCAAGGTAATGCTGGCTTTGTAAAATAAATTAAGTATTCTCTTCTGTTCTACTTTTTGGAAGAGTTTGAGAAGGATTGATATTAATTCTTCTGTGAATATTTGGTGAAATTCTCCGCTAAAGTGTCCTGGTTCTGGACTTTCTTGTTCATAGGGAGTTTTAAAAATTACTGACTCAATATTATTAATAGCTGTAGTCTGTCAGTTCAGATATTGTTTTTCATGATTCAGTCTTAGAAGGTCGTATGTTGTAGAAATTTGTTTATTTATTCTAGATTGTCCATCCTGTTGGCATATAATTGTCATAGTCCTCTTTTCTGATCCTTTATATCTCTGTGATACCAGTTACAACATTTCCTTTTTTCCCCTGATTTTATTTTTATGAACTTTATTTTTTTTCTTTGTGAATCTAGCTAATTGTTAATTTTGTTTCTCTTTTAAAGAACTAGCTCTTGGTTTCATTGATTTTGTTGTTGTTGTCTCTTTAGTCTCCATTTCATTTATTTCTGCTATGATCTTTGTTCCTTTCTACTACTAAACTTGGACTTTTTGGTTATTTTTCTAGTTCCTTTAGATATACATTTATAGTATTTGAGATTTTTCTTCTTTGTGAGGTAGGCATTTATTACTATGAATGAAAGTTCCTCATTAATTTCACTGCATCCCATGTTTCAGCATGTTGTATATTCATTTTCATTTGTCTTAAGGTATTTTTTGATTTTGGTTTTGATTTTTGTTGGAATATTGGTTTTTAAGTAGCATGTGGTTTAATCTTCACATATTTGTAAAATTTCCAGTTTTCTTCTTGTAATTGATTTGTAGTCATACTGTTGTGGTTGGAAAAGATGCTTAGTAAGATTTTAATGATTTTAATCTACCTAAATTTGTTTAAACTTGTTTTGTTGCCTAGCATATAATCTATCCTGGAGAATGTTCTGTGTGCACTTGGGAAGAATTTGTGTCCTGTTTCTTTTGGATGGAATGTTCTGTGTATATCTCTTCAGTTCATCTGGCTTAACATATCATTTAAAGACAAATGCCTTCTTACTGATTTTTAGTCTGGATGGTCTATCTATTGATGTAAGTGGAGTATGAAAGACGGCTACTATTACTGTATTGCTTTATATTTCTCCCTTTAGGTCTGTTAATAGTTGCTTTGTATATTTATTGCTCCTATATCGGGTGCATAGTGTTATATCCTCTTGTTGGAATGACCCCTTTACCATTATGTAATGCCCTTCTTTGTCTCTTATTACAGTGTCAGTTTCAAATTTTATGTGTCTCATCAAAGTATAGCTACTCTAGCTTTCATTTGGTTTCTACTTGCATGGAATGTCTTTTGCATCCCTTCATCTTCGGTGTGTGAGTGTCTTTAGGTTTGAAGTGAGTCTCTTGTAGGCAGCTTATAGATGGTGGTTTTTTTAATCCATTCAGCCACTCTTGTTTTTTTGATTGGAGAATTTAATTTATTTATATTTAAAGTGATTATTGATAACAGTCTACTTTAAGTTGATAACAACTTCAGTGTAAACATATTGTAAAGCTCTACATTTTTACTCTCCCTCATATTTCATGTTTTTGACGTCACATTTTACATCTTTTTATCTTGTGTATCCCTTAACTAATGATTGTGGTTGTGATTATTTTTTATTTTACCTTTGATTTCTAACCTTTACACAGCTTTATAAGGGACTCATCCTCTACCTTTACTGTATATTAACCTTTACCAGTGAGATTTACACTTTCACATATTTTCTTGTTACTTTTCTTTTCCGTTTAAAGAAATCGCTTAACATTTCTTGTACGTCTTGTTTAGTGGCAGTGAACTCCTTTAGCTTTTGCTTGTCTGGAAAACTCTATCTCTCCTTTAATTCTGAATGAAAACTTTGCCTTTAGAGTATTAGGTGGAAATTTTTTTCTTTCGGCACTCTAAGTATATTCTTCCACTCTATTCTGGCCTGTAACATTTCTGCTGAAAATCTTTTATTGAGAGTCCTTTGTACTTAACAGGTTGTTTTTCTCTTGCTGCTTTTAAGATTCTCTCCTCAACTTTAACTTTTGACATTTTAATTATAACATGTCCTTGTGTGGGTCTCTTTGAGTTCACTTTATTTTGAATTCTCTGGACTTCTAGATGTGTGTGTGTGTCTGTATACATACATACATACATACATATATATATTTTTATTGAAGTGTAGTCAGTTTCTGATGTACAGCAAAAAGCTTCAGTCATACATGAACATACACATATTTGTTTTCATATTCTTTTTCACCATAAGTTAGACTTCCTGGGTCTAGATGTCTGTTCCTTTTCCCAGGCTAGGGAAGTTTTTATCCATTATTTCTTCACATAAGTTTTCTACTTTTTCTCTCTCCTCCTTCTGGGACTCCTTTAATGTGAATGTTCGTCTACTTGATACTGTCCTGTTAGTCCCTTAAGCTAGCTTCACGTTTTAAAAAATTTGTTTTCTTTTTGCTGCTCTGATTGGGTGAGTTCCTCTGCCCTGTCTGAGGTCACTTATCCTCTTGGCTGCTTTATCTAGTGTGCTCTTGAGCCCCTCTAGTGAATTTTTCAGTTAAGTTATTGTATTCTTCAGCTCTGTGACATCTGTTTGTAGGTTTCTTACATTTTCTGTGTCTTTGTTGAAGTTCTTACTGTGTTCATCCATTTTTTCTCCAGAGTTTGGTGAACATTATTATAACCTGTACTTTGAACCCTTTGTCAGGTATTATCTCTGTTTCCTTAATTTTTTCTTTTTTTTTCCTTTCCTCATTTTTAAAAAATTGAAGTAGAGTTGGTTTACAGTGTTGTATTTGTTTCTGGTATTCAGCATAGTGATGTGTATACACATTCTTTTTCATTTTCTTTTTCATTAAAGATTACTCCAAGCCATTGAATAGCACAGGGAACTATATACGGTAGGACCTTGTTGTTTACCTACTCTGTACGTAATAGTTTGTATCTGCTAATCCTAAACTCCCACTTTATCCCTCCCTCCCACCTTTTCCCTCTGGTAACCATAAGTTTATTTTCTAAGTCTGTGAGTCTCTGTTTTGTAAGTTGGTTTGTGTCATTTTTTTTTAGATTCCACATATAATTGATATTTTACGATAATCTGTCTTTTTCTGACTGACTGACTTCACTTAGTATGATAATCTCTAGGTCCATCTATGTTACTGCAAATGACATTATTTTATTCCTTTCTGTGGCTGAATAGTATTATATTGTAATACTATTGTGTGTATATATATATATACACAACGCATTTTCTTTATGCATTCATCTATGGATAGACATTTAGGCTTCTTCCATGTCTTAACTGTTGTAACTAGTGCTGCTGTGGACACTGGGATGCATGTATCTTTTCAAATTAGAGTTTTCGCTGGATATATGCCCAAGGGTGGGATTGCTGGATCATACGGTAACTCTTATTTTCCATTTTTTAAGGCACCTCCTCACTGTTCTCCACAGTGACTGCATCAATTTGCATTCCCATCAACATTGTAGGAGAGTTCTTTTCTCTCCACACCCTCTCCAGCATTTAATGCTTGTAGACTGTTTGATGGTGGTCATTCTGACTGGTGTGATGTAATACCTCACTGTAGTTTTGACTTGCATTTTGTGAGTAATTAATGATGTCAAGCATTGTTTCATGTCTGTTGGCCATCTGTTTGACATCTTCGGAGTAATGTCTGTTGAGATCTTCTGCCCATTTTTTGATTGGTGGTGGTTTTTTTTTTTTTTTGATACTGAGCTGTGTGAGCTGCTTGTATATTTTGGAAATTAGTCTCTTGTCAGTCGCATCATTTGCAAATATTTTCTCCCATTCTGTAGTTTGTTTCTTCATTTTGTTTAAGGTTTCCTTTGATATGCAAAAATTTTAAGTTTTATTAGGTCCCATTTTTTTTTATTCTTGTTTTTTTTTCTATTACTCTAGGAGACAGATCCAAAAAAATATTTGTGCAATTTATGTCAGTGTTCTTCCTTTTTTTCCTCTAGGAGTTTTATGGTATCTGGTCTTATATTTATGTCTTTAATCCATTTTGAGTTTATTTTTGTATGTGTTGTTAGAGAATGTTCTAATTTCATTCTTTTATATGTAGCTGTCATTTTCTGAGTGCCACTTATTGAAGAGACTGTCTTTTCTCTATTGTATACTCATGCCTTTTCTTGTCAGAGATTAATTGACTATACATGTGTGGGTTTGTTTCTGAGCTTTCTATCCTGTTGCATTGATCTATGTGTCTGTTTTTGTGCCAGTACCATACTGTTTTGATTACTGTAGCTTTGTAATATAGCCTGAAGTCAGGGAGCATGATTCCTCCAGCTCTGTTGTTCTTTCTCAAGATTATTTTGGCTGTTGGGGGTCTTTTGTGTTTCCGTACAAATTTTAACATTTTTTGTTCCAGTTCTGTGAAAAATGGCATTGGTAACTTGATAGGGATTGCATTGAATTCATGGATTGCCTTGGGTAGCATGGTCGTTTTAACAATGTTGATTCTTCCAATCCAAGAACACAGTATATCTTTCCAACTTTTGTGTCATCTTCAGTTTTTTCAGAGTTTTTTCGGTCTTTTGCTTCCTTACGTAGGTTTTTTTCCTAGATATTTTATTCTTTTTGATGTGATGGTAAATGGGGGTGCTCCCTTAATTTCACTTTCTGATCTTTCCTTGTTAGTATTTAGAAATGCAACAGATTTCTGTGTACTAATTTTGTATCCTGCAATCTTACCAAATTCATTGATGAGCTCTAGTAGTTTTCTGATAGCATATTGAGGATTTTCTGTGTATGGTATCATGTCATCTGCAAACAGTGGCAGTTTTACTTCTTTTTCAATTTAGATTCCTTTTATTTGTTCTCTTTCTCTTATTGCTGTGGATTGGACTTCCAAACTTCTATTGAATAAAAGTGGCAAGAGACGCATCCTTGTCTTGTTTCTGGTCTTAGAGAAAATGCTTTCAGTTTTTCACCATTGAGAATAATGTTAGCTGTGGGTTTGTCATATCGGCCCTTTATTATGTTGAAGTATACTCTCTCTATCCCCACTTTCTGGAGTGTTTTTATTATAAATGGGTGCTGAATTTTGTCAAAAGCTTTTTCTGCATTTATTGAGATAATCATCTGACTTTTATTCTTCATTTGTTAATGTGGTGTATCACACTGATTGATTTATGGATATTGAAAAATCTTTGCAGCCCTTGAATAAATCCCACTTGATCGTGGTGGATGATCCTTTTAATGTATTGTTGGAGTTGGTTTGCTAGGATTTTGTTGAGGATTTTTGCATCTATGTTCATCAATGATACTGGCCTGTGATTTTCTTTTGTGTGTATTATCTCTGGCTTTGG